TTTGGAAGATCTCTCTAGTCTTTGTCCTCATCCTGCTGGGGACATCTCCATGCAATCCTTGGGTGCTTCATTCAGAACTTGGCCGCATCACTGCTCCAACCAGGGTTGGGTAGTCTTAGTTGGGTTTGCAGGGCAGGACMTTCTGCCCAAGGACCTGGGGAGCTCCCTGAGCCCCACGCTCAGATCTGCTCTGTTCCCATGTTCCCATGGCCACAGACAAACCRATGCAGCTGAACCAGGCGCTCTTCATGCTCGGTGGCCGCAGTGGCTACGTCCTGCAGCCGGACATCATGAGGGACGAGACCTTTGACCCCTTTGACAAGAACAGCCTGAAGATCGTGGAGCCCATCACAGTCCAGCTGCAGGCAAGTGGGCAGACAGCAAGACAGCAAGACCACCTTGAGGTGGTAATCAAGATGGGAACTCCTTCCTCACTTTTGGGTCAATCAGAGTTGTTTTTACATGTTTCCTCCACATATTTGTCCCATGGAGCTTGTTACTCTTGGGAGCTTTTCCTCATTCAGTGTGGCTGGACCTCACCCTCCTCTTCCTSACTTTTCTCCCCCAGATCCTTGGTGCCCGGCACCTGCCCAAGAATGGGAGGAGCATCGTGTGCCCCTTYGTGGAGGTGGAGGTTTGCGGCTCCGAGTATGATAACAGCAAGAACAAGACGGATGTCGTAGGTGAGGGACCACTTGGGTGATGTCCCCAGCTTCAGGGACAACCCTGACTGTGCCCTCTGGGGTCCTCTTGAGAGGACATGTGGGTGATGGGGCCGGGTTTTGTGCTCTGTCCCACAGCCGACAATGGCTTCAACCCCGTCTGGCTCTTCAAGCAGTTTGTCTTTGACATCAACAACCCCGAGTTTGCCTTCCTCCGCTTCGTGGTGTAYGAGGAGGACATGTTCAGTGACCCCAACTTCTTGGCACAAGCCACTTTCCCCATCAAGGGCCTCAAAACAGGTATGGTCCTTCCAATGATCATCATCATCATCATCTCCATCTTAGAGTCATGGAGTCATAGAAGGGTTTGGGTTGGAAAGAATCTTTAAAGGTCATCTTGTCCAACTCACCCTGCAATCATCATCATCATCATCATCATCATCTCCATGACTGAGTCATGGAATCATGGTTTGTGTAGGAAGGAACTTTTAAAGTTCATCCAGTCCAAATCCCCTTCAGTCATCATCTTCATCATCTCCATCATTGATCATGGAATCATAGAAAGGTTTGGGTAGAAAGGGACCTTTAAAGGTCATCTAGTCCAACCTCCGTGCAGTTGTCATCATCATCGTCATCGTCATCATCATCATCATGTCCAGTCAAAATCCCCTTCAGTCATCATCATCTCCATCATTGAGTCATGGAGTCATAGAAGGGTTTGGGTTGAAAAGGACCTTTAAAGGTCATCTTGTCCAACCTCCAATCATCATCATCATCACTGTCATGTCCCTGGGGTCCTGGCCGTGGTGAGGGGCTCAGATCGTGCCGTGGTGCTGAGCTTGTGTTGTGCTGTTGTTTCCAGGCTATCGGTCGGTGCCGTTGAAGAACAGCTACACCGAGGACCTGGAGCTCGCCTCCCTCCTAATCCACATCGAGATCATCAACGCCAAGGCAGGTGGCCCAGGCAGCTTGGGAAACCTGGAACGAGGGGCACCAGCTCTTTGGGGTGTCCTGCCCGCCCCACCAGCCTCACACGCTTTTTTTGGAGCAGGAGGAAGATGAGGAGAACCTCTACTCGTCCATCCAGCAGCTCCGTGACCGCGCCAGCGAGCTCTCCAGCCAGGTCTCCAGCTATGAACGCACCAACGGCTGCGATTCCCGCTACCAGCAGCGCCTGGAYGAGCTGCGGGCAGCCCAGGAGCGGCTCATGGAGCTCACCGAAGTCCGGAACCGCAAGTGAGTGTGTCCCCTCCCTGTGGCTTCGGGAGGTCCCTCTTGGGAGGACCCCTAAGGCCACCACCCTGCTCCCCACCAGGCTGATGGAGAAGAAGAAGAGGGACCGGCAGATGGTCACCAAACGTAGCTGAGCTGGAGGGACTTGAGCTGAGGAGCTCCCCCAGCCACCTCCTCTCCTGCCACAAAGGGAGGTGGGGTGGCCACATCCCGACCTCCCACCATGCCCAGGGCTGGGTGACAGTGGCGTGACAAACTTGGGGATGAAAGGGGACCTTGGGTTGCTGTGTCTGTGACAGGGGTGAGGCGGGAGGTGGGACACTCTGGCTTCGATCCCAGGTGCCTCCAGCTTCATCCCATGTCCCCTGTGGCTTGTGGCCACATCTTCGTCCCCACGGCTCCTCCTCACCTGACGTTCTCGATGTCCCACCATCCTATGGCAGYCCCATGACTGATGGKGAAACTGAGGCMCAGGGGCCCAGCTGGCTCAGGATGGAGCAGGACCGGCCACCTCCATCCTGGGCACAAGTGACAGGACAGGCTGGTTGTGAAGCACCAGGATGGGGACACAGGGGACATTTTTGGGGGGGTTAGGGGGGTATTTTACTCCCCCGCTATAAATAWCTGTATTTTCTTCTTTTATCCAGCGTGTACATATGGCGTGGGGGGAGGGGGTGTCTCTACCAGCCACAGTATTAGGGCACAAGGGGAACCCCAAAATGTCCAGAGATGTCCTGGCATGGGACCAAGGGAGCAGGGGACCAAGTTTGGGAGTGTCCCACAGGGCAGGGTGGCCTGTGACCAGGTAGATACAGGGCATCAAGGTGGCCCCAGGTGGGACAGGGATGTCCCCAAGGTGACCCAGAGSTGTCACCAAACTCTGGGAATGGGGACAGATCCTGCCAGTAAAGCAAATGGAGGTGGTGGCCGGCCCAGCAGTGGCTGGGGACATCTTGGGGTGTCCCCCAGGGTYGGGGTGTCCCAGTGGGGGGGACCTGTGTATTCTTTGTATGAAAATAAATCTATTTAGCCAATATTTATACCTTTCTGCTGTGACCTGGTGTCCCCTCCCAAGCTCTGCTGCCACCCTGTGATGTCCCCAGGATAGGTGATGTCACCTGGGGAGTGGCTTGGTGGTGGATCCARTGCATTGCCCTTGTCCCAGCAGCAGTGGGGACATCTGGGGGTGTGGTATGGCAGGCAGGGCCACCCAGGAAAGGGACACAGGACACAAGGCAGAGTGTCACACAGGGACAATAGGTACAAAGTTGTGGGGACACAGGGTCATGGGGACATGAGATCATGGTGTAACAGGGCTCTGGGGATGCAGGATCACAGACACATGGGAACACGGGGCTATGATGCCACATGGCACACTGATTTGGGGACACAGGGACACATGTGAGTCCATGAGGACACCCATGGGGCCTTGGGGACACACACAGGTCCATAGGGACATGGGTCCATGGGAACACATATGGATCCATAGGAACAAAAGGGCATGGGGACACACATGGATCCATAGGGATTTGAGTCCATGGGGACCCACTCACAGATCCATAGGGACATAGGAGTTTGGGTTCATGGGGATACACACACAGGTCCATAGGGACATAGGAGTTTGGGTTCATGGGGATACACACACAGGTCCATAGGGACATGGCACCATGGGAACAGACGAACCCATAGGGATTTGGGTCCATGGAAACACATGTGAATGCGTTGGGATTTGGGTCCATTAGGACACACGAATTCATAGGGATTTGAGTCCATGGGGGCACACGCGGATCCACAGGGATTTGGGTCCATGGAAACACACACGGATCCATAGGGATTTGAGCCATGGAAACAAACACTCTTGGATCCATAGGGATTTGGGTCCATGAAACACACGAATCCACAGGGATTTGAGTCCATGGGGACATACTCACGGATCCATAGGAATTTGGGTCCATGGGGACACACTCACGGATCCATACGGATTTGAGTCCATGGAAACACACACGGATCCGAATGGATTTGGGTCCATGGGGACACACACTCATAGATCCACAGGGATTTGTGTCCATGGGGACACACTCACGGATCCATAGGGATTTGTGTCCATGGGGACACACACTCCAGGATCCATAGGGATTTGGGTCCATGGGGACACATACTCCAGGATCCGCATGGATTTGGGTCCATGGGGACACACACTCCAGGATCCACAGGGATTTGTGTCCATGGGGACACACTCACAGATCCATCGGGATTTGTGTCCATGGGGACACACACTCCAGGATCCACAGGGATTTGGGTCCATGGGGACACACTCACAGATCCATCGAGATTTGTGTCCATGGGGACACACTCCAGGATCCATAGGGATTTGAGTCCATGAGGACACACATGGATCCATAGAGACACAGGACCATGGGTCAATGGGGATACACACGGATCCATAGGGATTTGAGTCCATGGGGACACACTCTTGGATCCACAGGGATTTGGGTCCATGAAACAACACGAATCCACAGGATTTGGGTCCATGGGGACACACTCATGGATCCACAGGGATTTGGGTCCATGGGGACACACGCATGGATGCACAGGGATTTGGGTCTATGGGGACACACTCATGGATCCACAGGGATTTGGGTCCATGGAAACACACACGGATCCATAGGGATTTGAGCCATGGAAACAAACACTCTTAGATCCATAGGGATTTGGGTCCATGAAACACACGAATCCACAGGGATTTGAGTCCATGGGGACATACTCACGGATCCATATGGATTTGGGTCCATGGAAACACACACGGATCCGAATGGATTTGAGTCCATGGGGACACACTCACGGATCCATAGGGATTTGAGTCCATGGGGACACACACATGGATCCACAGGGATTTGAGTCCATGGGGACACACACTGCAGGATCCAGAGGGATTTGGGTCCATGGAAACACCCCCATCCCACCGCCCCTCACGCAGTTCCCGCCTTCCCCCCAGGCTGTCAAGCAGGGGCGGGACCTGCAGCGGAGCCACGCCCCCTCCTTCCTTATGGCCCTGCCCCCTCCTTCCTATTGGCTGTTCTCCCCCTTCGCTGTTTCCCATTGGCTGCCGGGCCGCGCGCGCGCCCGGACGCGGAAGTGCCSGAGCCGGAGCGGCGGAGACGGTGAGGGGAGGGGTCGGACCCAAACCCCGCTCGGAGCCCTGGGAAAGGGGATTTATTCCCATAAATCGGGGGAAATTGGGAATATTCTGTTTTAAATACCCGCGTTGCACTTGGGTTTGATGGGGACAAGGGTTAATTCCTGTGTTTTCGTAAGGAAAATGACTTTTTTTCTTGTTTATTTTCATGAGGAAAGCTGTTTATTTTTGGGATTTGGCGAATAAAATTGTCTATTGTCGGGTTTTTTGATGAGGAAAAAGGTTTATTCCGGGGTTTTGATGAGGAAAAGAAATAGGTCTCTTTTTTTTGAAAATGAGGAACAGGGATTTACTCATAGTTTTTGATGGGGAAAATAGTTTATTTTTGCATTCTTCATGGGGAAAAGGGTTTTTTTTTTTTTTGCTTTTTAAGGAAGAAAATGGTTTATTTGTGTGTTTTTGATGAGGAAAATTACTTATTCTTGGAGGGTTTTGATGAGGAAAACGATTTGTTCCTGGGGATTGATGAATAAAGTGGCTTATTCTTGCTTTTTGATGAGAAAATTGTTTATTCTTGAGGGTTTTGTGATTTTAAAAGTGTTTATTTTATGAGAAGAATGGTTTGTTTGTGTGGTTTTTGATGAGGTTTATGCTGAAGCTTGCATGAGGAAAATGGACTTAATGAGGGAAATTTATTCTTGGCTATTTTTATGAGAAAAACAGTTTATTCTTGGGGTTTTGATTGATCAAACAGTTTATTCTTGGGAATTTAATCAGAAAAATCAAATTACTTGGGGTTTTTAATGAGGGAAAGGGTTAATTTTAATTTTTTTTTWAATTATATTTCTTTATGTTGAAACAAAAATGTTGGATCCTGATTTTCCATGGAATCATTGAAGAAGAGATGGGGAGGGGTAAAAACTGGAATTTAGTAACTAGATTTTAATTACTACTAGATTTTAATTTAACTAYTAGAATTTAACTACTGGAATTCTTCCAGTTGAATTTAACTACTGGAATTTATCTACTGTAATTCTAGTAGCTGAATTTAACTACTARAATTTTAACTACTGGAATTTGAACTGCCAGAATTTTGCTTTCAGAATTTAACCAAGAAAATAAGCACCAAAATACATCCCTGCTTCCAAATATTTGCATTTCTTTTAATATATTATAAGTAATTATGTGTTTTTTTGGGGGGAAAGCTGGAGATTTTTAGTACCTCAATAGGTGCTTTGCATATGTTTTGAATATTCATGTGCTCTAGCAACACTGGGCAGCTCCAGTGACAGGCCAGGAAACCCTTTCCCAAGGAATTTTTAAAGGTAGAGTTTATCCTTTGCCTCGCTCGCATGAGTAAAGAAAGAAAATGTGGAATTTAATGAGTCTGGACAGTGTCAGAACAGGTTGGATGAGCTGGGGCAACCACCCCATTCCTGGAATTGTTCCTGGAAGGGTTGGATGGAGCTTGGAGCAACCTGGGATAGGGGAAGGTGTCCCTGCCCCTGGAATGTGATGATCCTTAAGGTCCCTCCCAACGCAAACCATCCATGATTTTTTGTACAACCTCGTCCTGGGAGGTTTAGTGGAGAAGGCAGAGCTGGACTCTTCCGATGGATGTGCAACAGGGATGAGCAGGAATGAGAGAAACTGGGTCAAATGGAATTTTGAATCACYGTGAGGGTGATTAAACACCTGGAAAAAAGGAGCAGGGAGCCTCTGGGAGCAGCTCAACCTCAACTGGGGCGAGGCTTTGAGCCTGGGGTTGGGTCTAAAACCTCTCCCAAGCCCAGATTCTCYGGCAATTCTGCGCCAAAGCTCACAAATCTCCATTGCTGTGAYTCTCCCACCCCAGGCAATCCACCATGTCCAACCTCCCTCCTCCGGCAGCCGACGGGATTTGCTTCTACATCCTGACAGAGGACTGTGCCTACGGAAGCAAATACTTCCAAGCCGGCAACTTGTGCTTCTGCAGCGAGAGGAGCTACCTGAGGAATTTTGCCGAGGACGGGCCTCCAGCTTGCTTCCTGAAGGTCATCATGCTGGACGACAGCTCCACGGTCACCATCAACCTGGAGATCCTGCAGCCCGTGCGCCAGGAAGCCGCCGGGTTCCTGCTGGCCGTCGGGAGCCACAGCGAGCGCTTGAATTTTTTCCTGGAGAGGCTGAGGCTGGAAGGAGCTCTGCGAGCCACGCCGGGGCAAAACGTGATGGTGGAGGTGGAGAGGGAATTTTTCCCGGGAGTCGTGCGCTACATCGGGAGCATCTACAAGCCCAGCTTGGCYGTGCTGACTCCGGTGTTTTTCGGGGTGGAATTGCAGGTAGGGGGGGCCGAGGCAGCAAATTCCTCGTTTTTCCCTGGTGTTTCTTGTGTGTGACATTCCTTCCTGGCGTGTTTTCAGGGAGAGGGGGAAAACAGAGGGAGGAGCGACGGATCCTACCACGGCACTGAGTACTTCAAGTGCAAGAGGAACTGTGGGATCTTCCTGCCCTTCAGCAAAATCCAGTTTATTCCCACACCAGAGAATGATTATGGGAAGCAGAAGCCAAGAAAAGAGGACACGGAGGAGGTGGTTCCCGTGAAAGTGGGAGATGCCGTCAGCTTCTACGTGGATGAGATCCTCACCAAAGGAATTGCCATGGCGGTTTACAGGGAAGGGAACCAATGGTTCGTGAAAGTTTGCCCGGTAAGAGCAGCTTTTCCATGGATTTTTTTGTGGATTTTTTTAAAAAAACACATTATGGTGGGACATGGAAGAGAAGTAGAGGGAATGTCCAAAAGAGATGTGAGGTTATGTGCAAACTTTCCAGGCCTGGTTAAAAAATTCCTTCTTATTGCAGTGTTTAGCCTATAGATTTTTTTTTCCCAGCTGATGGATTTTTCCCTCCTTTCAGGAAGAAGAAGGAACGACTGACATATTCCGGGAAATCCCGATGGATTCTGTTGTGAAGGAGAGCTTGCAAAGTAGGTGATCTTTGGATGCATCCTCCCTGTGCACATTCTGTGGGATTTAGAATTTATTCCCTCTCTGCAAGGTACTGAGGAGCTGAAATTCCAGTAGAACCCTCAGATTGTCTTAATGGATCGRGATTTGTGGAAAAATGTCAAGTTCCACGCAGAATTCTTGGCGTGAGGCAGCTAAAGCTGAATCCCATTTGTCAAGAAGGAGAGGCTGATGCATTCAGGCTGAGGTATTCAGAATTCCCTCAGGAAATTCCATCAGGGAATTAAAGAGTCTTTAATTCTGCTGTTAAAGATGGAGCTGGAGCTTCATCCTGATGGGAAAAGCTCAGGTGCCGGCAGCAATGGTGGGAATTGTTGGACAAGACAAGGAATTAGTAGAAAAAATAAGAAATAAACCCTCTACTGCCATTCCAGTGGTCTGGGAAGTGCTGGATAARCTCCAGAGCCAGCAAGAGGTTGGAATGTGAAGCTTTGAGCAGGAAAACAAAGAACAGGATCATTCCCTCTCATCCTGTCGGACCAGTTCGGCACACTGGGAATTACACCTCGTGTCACTGGTGCTCAGCTTCCTGCTTGTGCATGCAGCCTGGAATTTCCGAAATAGACCCGGAATTAGATCCAGAGGGTTGAATTSCCACCTCTCCTGATGTTCTGTGTGGCCCATCAGGTTTTTTCCCGACGTTCGACTCCGACGTGGGCTTGGGAAAACCAAACAYGATGAAACGAGAGATCAGCGACAGCAGCGAGGAGGGGGAGAGTGGAAATTCCCCCCTGGAAGTGAAYTCCATGGTCCAGATCACCTTGGACAAGGGAACTCAGGTTTCAGGGATCATCCGCTGGTTGGGCTACCTGCCCCAAATCAAGGACAAAATGGCTGGAGTTGAACTGGTGAGGCTGGAAAGCTGGGGAGGGATCTGGGAATGCTGGTGGCAGTGGCTGAATGTGGGGGGATGGGATTTTGGGATCCCCAGGTACCGGGTATGGAGGGGCTGGAATGGAGCTGGGAAGGGGCTGTAGCACCAAGAGTGGCTGAGGGAGGTGGGAGGGCTTTGATCCTGGAGAAAAGGAGGCTCAGGAGGGGACCTTCTGGCTCCCCAAATTCCCTGACAGGAGGGGGCAACCAGGTGGGAATCAGGATCTGCTCCCAGGGAACAAGGGACAGGACGAGAGGAAATGGCCTCAAACTGCTGCAGGGCAAGTTTAGGTTGGATATTTAGAAAATTCCTTCATGGATAGGGTTGTCCAACCCTGACAGATTGGGTGGAGTCCCCATCCCTGTGGATGTGGCACTTGGGGATACAATCTAATGGTGGCCTTGGCAGCATTGCGTGGTCAGACTCGATCTTAAAGCTCTTTTCCAATTGTGATTCCATAAATCCCACTCTCAGGCTCTTCCCTGGTGCTCTTTTCACAGGATGAGGATAAGGGGGTCACGGCTGGAGARTGGCTGGGCAAGTCCTACTTCCAGTGTGCCCCGAAGCGCGGCCTCTTCGTGCGGCTGAACTCCTGCCAGCCCGACGTGCGCTTCCAGAGCTTTCCCAACTCCGAGCTGGCCCTCGGGGATTATGGTGAGACCCCTGGGAATCAGGAAAATGGGATTCTGATGGGAGAAGGATATGGAAAAACCCCATGGGCAGCATTTTCCACCCTTTCCTCAAGTGTTGTTTTGTGGTGTTTGTCCCACRCCACACCCTTGGCTGGATTAACAGTTGGGCTCAGTCCTTGAGGTCTTTTCCAACCTAAATGAATCCTTAAGGAATATCCCACAAGCGTGAAAGATTTGTAAGTGATTTAGGAAAAACTGGATTGATTGAGAAGCCACCTTAAATTTGTGAGTTGYAGACTCAGCTCAGACTTTTGGGGCATGGAGGAAGGGCAGATCTGGCCCAGGTGAGAAGGTGAAGGAAATTCCTTTTCTTGCAGGAGGACAAGAAGTTTTTCCACAAACTCCAGAGAGTTTTCCTCCCCTCAGGAATGAGGCGGCAGTGCGTGTTCTCCGAGGKCAGATGAAAGGCATCCAAGGCCATTGCAATTCCTGCTACATGGATGCAACTCTCTTCAGGTAAGGGACCTGCTGGGGTGGTGCAGTCTCCTTTAAATGAGTGGCTTTTTAATTGGGCAGACCCCCAAATTGCAGCACTTCCCTGGATTTCTAAATCGGCTGGAAAGTTTAGAGCAGAATGTAACTGTGGAGATGCAACCTCCAGGCTGCTTTTTGATCTCCTTCCCAAATCCAGCAGGTTTACCAGCCCTGAAGACTCCCTGGACCCCTGTGTCTGTCATTCAGGGTGCTGGGAGCTCGTAGTTTTCTGGACTTGGACTGTGCTGACTCTGCCCCTGGAAGTTCTGGCTGGAATCATTCCAAAGAACCCACCCAGGAAGTCCCAACTTCCCTGTTTGGAGAGGAACAGACTCAGTGGTGCCCTTCCCTGAGCAGTTTTGGCTGCCAAGTAGGAATTCCCTTCTCCCTGGGCTGTTCCCTTTGCTTTCTCCCCGTGTTCATTCCTCCAGACGTGCCTCACTGTGCAGATGTGCTTCCCTCACCTCCCTGTAAATCCGTGCATGGGATGTTGTGCATCAAAGCCATCGACTCTCACCAGCCACCACATTTTGGATCCAGCTGTTGCTTCTCAAACTCAAACCCCATCYCAYTCTTCCCRCAGCCTCTTCTCCTGCACATCYGTGCTGGACTCCATGCTCTTCATGCCCTTCCCGCTGTGTGACAGGAATGTGCAGGGAATTCTGCGGGATGAGATTGTCAATCCCCTCCGAAGGTGAGTGTGGGGAATGCTGCTGCCCTGAAAGTTTGCAGCCACACCCAAARGTGTTCATACAGGACAAGGAARAATGGTTTTAAACTGATTTAGATGGAATATTGGGAGGAAATTCTTCCCTGTGAGGGTGGTGAGGCCCTGGAATGGAATTCCCAGASAAGCTGTGCCTGCCCCATCCCTGGAAGTGTCTCCAGGACAGGAATTGGAGAAACTTGGCCTGGTTGGTGCCATCCTTTCCCATGGCAGGGGTTTGAGCTGGATGAGCTTTAAGATCCCTTCCAAGCCAAGCCATTCCATGATTCCCATCACCTGGAGCTGGTTGTTGTTCCCAGGACTGGCTTTGTCAGGGCCAGCAGCGTGATGCACCTCCGCGAGCAGCTCACGGACAAGGGCGAGTGCTCCAGCTTTACCAACGCTGAGAAAGGTAAGGAGCTTTCCAGAGCCTTTCCCGGGGCTGCTTCCCTGGGTTTTGCCTCATCCAGGCAACTTCCCTTTGTGCTTTTCCCAGGAATGTGCTTTAATTARGTGCTGATGTTAATTGGTGTAAAAATTCAGTGATTAAATCCTTTCAGCTGTTAAATCTCTCTGTACCCTCAAAACTCTTTCCAGTGCCTAAAAAGGCTCCAGGAGAGCTGGAGAGGGATTTTGGAYAAGGGRTGGAAGGACAGGACACAGGGAATAGCTTCCCACTGCCAGAGGGCTGAGTTAGATGGGACATTGAGAAGGAATTCCTTCCTGTRAGGKTGGTGAGGGGCTGGGRTGGAATTCCCAAAAAAGCTGAGGCTGTTCCATCCCTGGAATTGTTCCAGGTCAGGTGGGGCTTGGAGCAATCTGGGATAGTGGAAGGTGGCTCTGCCTGTGGGAAAGGATGGAACTGGATGAGCTTTGAGGTCCCTTCCCACCCAAACCATCCTGGGATTCTGTGAAAGTGCYGGATCTGAAGGCTGGTTGGCATTTTCCTGCTCCCTGCTTGGGATTTGTGCCTTAACCAAGCACTCTCAGCCTTCATCTCCATTGTCCCCTAACCTAAAAAGAGGAAATTCCAAATTCATGGAACGCTGGCTTGGGTTTATCTGGCAGCTCTTGGAGGCCATTCCTGGTATGGTGTGACCCATCCTSTCCTCTCACTTTCCAGATCCCGAGGAGTTCCTCAATCTCATAATGCAGCAGATCCTGGGAATTGAGCCACTGCTGAAACTCCAGTAAGTTTCCACAGCTGAGGGATGCAATTCCCAAGGCCAGGCTCATTAATTTTCCTCCTCACGATCCCGGGGAGGGGCAGTCACTTGTCCCTTTCCATCCGAGTTTTTTGAAATCGCAGCTCTGAGTTTCGCGCAGCTCCTTCTGCTTCTCTTAACAGCAGCCTTGTTGTCATCATTCCATCTGGAAAAAGACAATTCTGAGCTCTCCCTGGAGACTGCTGCCTTCAGAAAATGGGGATGGAAACCTTGTGCCATCCCCAGGGGAGAGCCAGAAGTGATTTGAGAAAGGTGATGCCCGACTCAAGGGCAGATCCAGCAATATCCGACAGCYTTTGGATGAATTTGGGATGCGTCCAGGCTGCCGAGCTGGCTCAGCTCCCGCAGCCTCTCGAACAGGCAGTCCATGGATGCAGTCCCAGTTTTTTTGGGACTCTACAAAGAGGATGAGAGGCTGAAGGAAGCCAAAAATAACTGTACTGTTCGGGAGCACAGAAAGGGAATTGTTGGATTTCTGTGCTCCTTTGTGGGGCYGCCGCTCGAGCCGTGGATCGTGGAGTGCTGGGAAAGGCTGGGCACAAAGGGGACTCTGTGCTGCAGCTCCCCTGCACGGGGTCATCCCAAGGAAATCCTTTCCCTGCWGCCTGTGGGGATTCTGGGAGATCTGCACACAGCTCACCTTGAGTTTGGCTTTTTGGATGCATTTTTAAATTAATCCTTCATCAGAGCATCCATTTGTGAATTTAAATATTAAATTATCCTTTATATCGAGGGAAAATGGAATTTTGCRTAGATGAGCAGGATGTGGTGCTCCAAAGGGATGATGAGGCCACAATTCCTGCTTATCTCCTCTTCCCCTGGCACAAATTTGGTATTTTTGGGTGGAAAAAGTGCCTCGTGTCGCACCAAACCACCCTCAGTGCCTTGAGCCCAGGAGCTCTCCCAGGACAAACCTTGGGAAACTCCCAATTTTTGTGTTACCACATCCCCCATCCCATGACCTCTCCTGGCAGGTCAGGAGGCCAGAAGGAGCAYGATTGTTACTGCTACCAGATATTTATGGATCAACAGGAGGATCTGGTGGTTCCTGACGTGCAGCAGCTGGTGGAGCGCTCCTTCCTGTCCTCAGATCTGAAGCTGGTCGAGGTGAGTCCACTTTCCTTTCTCTTTCCTGCTTTTCTTACTTCCCAAAGTACCTGTGAGGTCTTGGATGTTTTATATCCAACTCTGAATCCAAGCATGACTCAGGAAAAGGTTTCTGCTTTACCTGTTTCCCTTTTGTCCTGTGAATAACAACAGCAAATTTAGGGAAAAATCTCTGGAATTTGACAGCAAATGTAGAGAAAAATCTCTGGAATTTGGCTCTTCTGGCTGGGTGACTCTTTTCCCTTTCTTCTCCCAGATCCCATCTTGCTTCATTATCCAAATGCCACGTTTTGGGAAGGAATACAAAATGTTCAGCAAAATCATYCCTTCCTTGGAGCTGGATATAACAGATCTGCTGCTGGACAGTAAGTTACGGGTGAGGGTCTGTGAGAAATCTACGTTCTTTGGGGTGGGATTCTTCTTCCCTAAATGCCAGTTTTGGGAGGACAAGCTGGATTTTAGGTGGGATCTGGAGAAGGCACACCCTCTGAGCTCCGTTTTTCCCTGGCAGGTCCCAGGGAATGCTGCCTGTGCGGAGACGTGGCCACTCTGGAATGCTCCGAGTGTTTCAAGGACAAAGTGTTTGCAGCCACAGGACTGAAGCAATTCTGCAGCTCCTGCTCCAGACAGGTATTTTCCATGGCTGTTCCCAAAATCCACCTTGGGAGCTGACAGCAGGATGAACCCTCCCAAAATCTCAACATTTCCCTGTTGTTCCTGCAGGGATTGGGCACAGAGGAGCCCTTTCCTGAGGGTCATTCCCACCAGGAGCCAGAGGTTGGGGAGAGCCTAAATACACATGAGCCTAAATAATCAGAGCCTAAATAATCATGCAATCCCAGAAAAGATTGGAAAGGAYCTTGAAGCTCATCCAGCTCCAYCCCCTGRATGCTGCTCCCTATCCCAGGTTGCTCCAAGCCCCGTCCWMCCTGGCCTCAAACAATTCCAGGGMTGGGACATCCACAGCTTCTCTGGACAACCTTTTCCTTAAATAAGGAGCAATCCTGCAGGAAATGAGCGYTGAGCCTTCCCTGCTGCCTCTCCATGAGCATTCCCACAGTTTCTGCCTCTGGGAGGGTGACCCGGTCCCGTTTCAGCTTCCTGSTGCCAGGCAGTTCCCACACCACCAWTCCCAGGCAGGCAGGGAGTCACATCAGCAGGGAATAAATCAGGAATCTGCCCTCTGCCCTCTCCTCCTCTCGGGCCAGGGCCAGTTCTGCCACCACCACCCTGTCCCCTCTCCTCAGGTTCACTCCCATCGCAGCCGCCAAGCGCACAAACCCCGGAGGCTGCACATTCCCGAGGAATTCCGCAGCTGCAGCGCCCGGGGCTGCCAGCAGGTGCCYCGGGAGAAGCTGGAGCTCTTTGCCGTGCTCTGCATCGAGACCAGTCACTACGTGTCCTTCGTGAAATACGGCCCCGGCAGCGAGCACTGGATGTTCTTTGACAGCATGGCCGACCGACACGGTGAGGGAATGGGAATGGGATCTGGGAATGGGATCTGGGAAGCTGCCAGGGGCTGCTCAGTCCACTTTTTCCTCTCAAGCTCCCTGTCTGATTTAGGCTCTCTCTGGATTTTGTTTCCATTTAATTAAGATTCCAGAGTGGCCAAGCTGAGCAGGTGGGAGTTCCTGCAGGTGCTTCCAGCCTCTGGCTGTGGTCAAACAGGGAATTTGGGATCCCATTCTGGCTCCCTCAGCTCCTGAGCACGGATTGTTCTCCTGTCCTTCCCCATGTTGTATTTATCATGGAATCATGGAATGGTTGGRGTTGGAAGGAACCTTAAAGCTCATCCAGTTCCACCCCACTTGGATGGGYACCTTCCCCAATCCCAGGTTGCTCCARGYCCYRTCCAACCTGGCCTGGAACAATTCCAGGAATGGAGCAGCCACRGCTTCTCTGGGAATTCCATTCCATCTCCTCACCAYCCTCCCAGGGAACAATTCCTTCCCAATATCCCATCCAACYYYGCCCYCTGGCAGKGGGAAGCCATTCCCTGTGTCCTGTCCCTCCATCCCTTGTCCAAAATCCCTCTCCAGCTCTCCTGGARCTCCTTTAGTCACTGGAAGCTGGATGCTCTCCCCTCATCCATCCTCTTCCAGCGTTCTTGGCCCCCACATCTCCCAGCTGAGGGCTCTGCATGGCTGTGGAGTGAGCTGGGATCCACTGGATCTGTAGGAACTCCTCCCTTTGGGATCAGGTTTGGGATTTTCCTCCTCCTCTCTGCCTTAGGTGGCGAAAACGGCTTCAACATCCCCACGGTGACGCTGTGCCCAGAAGTTGCCAAATACCTGGACTTGCCCCTGGCTGTGCTGGCCCTGGAGCAGCCTCGGGACATGGATGGGGTGGCCAAACGCCTCTTCTGTGATGCCTACATGTACCTGTACCAGAGCAGGAAAATGGCACTGTACAAGTGACCCTGTCCAAGGCTGGTGGCACGGAGCGGTGTTGGAAACGGGAGCTTGGATCRTCCCTGAAGGTGGAAGCAGCTGAGTCTGGGTGCTCTGAGCTGCCTCTTCCCCCCTGTGCTGGTATCAGATTATCCAAGGCAGGCTGGGTTTGTTAAATCCTGGCTTAACCCGGTGGTAGTTGGTCCTTGGGTGCAGCTGGACTTGGAATTATTGACATTAATTCATTCTCCTTCTCCACATTCCACACCCTCCTCGCTCTCCAGGTACTCTGCAGCTGGAGCCTCCCCAAAATCCTCTTCTCCCTGCCATCCTTCCCTCCAAAGCTGGGACCAGCAGAAATCAAAACACAYGGAATTATCCACAGATTTAACCACAACCTCACTTTCCCTAGAACATCCTCACTTGGATTTGTGGAGTGAGAAAAAAAAACAGGTGGGATTGAGACAGATCAGGACGGATTTCCCACCTCTAAATCTGTGTCACTTCCTTCTCCAGCACCGACTGGCACGTTTACCCACCATACCTTATTTCCAACAATGGATATCCAAAATTTTAAAACCAGACTTTTTCCAAGAACAAAACTGGAAGGAGGATGGAGCAGAGGAGCAACATCCAGACTCCTGCTGCTTCCTCTTTTTGGCAAAATGTGCACAGGATTCAAAGTCCAACTTCACTTTCAGCACTTTCTGTCCCATCTTTGCACCCACTTCTGAGTTCTGGGGTCAAATACCAGAATTCCRAGGGCAAAAATGGAAGAAAAAATGAGTACTCTGCAATCTTCTGCAGGAAAATTTAAGATTTGGATGGGAACAGGCATTCCTTAAGGTAAATAAATTTATAGATTTTGGGGTTCTCTGCTGTAAAGTGGGAAGCTGTGCCTGGAGTCAGTGGGATGCCCAGATTCCACAAGGAAAACTGCAAGGAAAGCTTCCAGGACTCCCAGATGTGCAGCTTCAATCCCCTTCCTGCTCTTTTTTTCCTTCTTTAATGCAGAGAGCAGTAAATTTAACAAAACTTGGAGCTTTGGATTGCTCCTGTTGGCTTGGGACACGTGGTTTGGGATCTCTTTGGCATTCCAGGTGTTGGCAGCAGGTCCTGGAGGGATCCTTCCCCWCTGCTCAGCTCTGCCAACTCACACCTGGAATAACTGGGTCCAGKTTGGAGCTCCCCAGTAGGAGAGAGACAAAGAGAATCCAAGGAAAAACCACGGAGATGATGAAAGGACTGGAGCATCTCCTACCAGGAGGGGCTGAGGGAGCTGGAATTGCCCAGCCTGGAGAACAAAAGGATTGGGAATCTTCCCAACATCCATAAATCCCAGAGGGGAACGCACAAAGAAGACACCCAGGAGCTTTTCTGCCCAGTGACAGGACCAAAATGGTTCCTGAACATCAGGAATTGCATTTTTTCTGTGAGGGTGACAAGTGCAGGTCACTCTCCTACTTTTTTTCTGCATTCCTTCTCTCCCAAAAACTCAGGAAAATCTCTACTCAGGTACGATGGACTCTACCTTTGGTGCTTTGCTCTGAAACAAAAAATCTAATTTATAGCAAACTGATCTGGTTTTCCTGGAGTTTTTTTCCCTGTCTTAAAATGGGATACAGTGCTGTGGGAATTCCCAGAAACAAAAGACCATCAGCTTTGTTAAGTTCTTAATTATTTTCTTCCCTGTAATTTGCTGCCAAGATCCAAACCATGGAGGGGAGGGTGGGTTGGTCCCTGGGGATTTTCCTCTTGCCTTCCCATTCCCAGTGGAGCTCCAGAGGGTTTTTCACTGGAATTAGGGTCGGAGCCGTGGTGGGAAAAGGCCTTTATTTAATTTTTTTTGCTTAGTCTGAAGCTCAGCGTGGGTTAGTGCCACGTTTCCTGTGGGAACAGGGGTTAGAGAGTGCAGGTGGCAACCTGGGGCCAGGATCAGCCTGGAGCCAGCCTCCACATCCCAGGGAACTCGGATAGAATGGGAAAAGTTGGAATTTGGCCATGGAGATGAAGTTTGGAGTTGCCAAAGCAAGGAGAATGTGCCATGAATATCCCACATCACCCTTCTGGTGGCACCCCAGACTTCACTCTAGTGCCACCAAGGAGCTTCAGGATGGGGGAGCCACCAAGGAGGGCACAGGGCTGGCAGGGCCACCAAGAAAGGCACAGGAGTGGCAGGGCCACCAGAAAAGGCACAGGAGTAGCAGGGCCACCAGAAAAGGCACAGGATTGGCAGGGCCACAAAGATAGGCCACAAAGCTGGCAGGGCCACCAAGGCGGGCACAGAAGGACTGTCACTTTCAGAGGACGCAGGGACAGCTCTGCCTCCCCCATCCCTGCRTTCCCAGCTTCCCTGTGGGACCCCAGGGCACTCTCCCAATCCCTGCAGGTTCCTCGGGTTAGCACCAGGCAGCAAAAAGATCTAAATTAGAGCTGTTAATTCCCAACGAGTCACTTGGGCTTCCCAAAAAAAAACAAAGCGTGGAGGAGGAGCCGGGGACGAGCAGGGAGCGCCTCAGTGGCCGCCCTGACGCAGCTCCAGGAAGAGCCGGTGCAGCCGTTCCGTCACGGCCACCTGGGGACGGGAATAAGAGGGGTCAGCTCTGGGGTGGCTCTGCTCAGGCCACCGAGTCCRGTGGCGTTCCCAAGCGGGAGCAAGGGAAGCAGCGGATGTACCGGGTAGGGCTGCGGCTCGTGGAGCCGGCGGTGAGCGGGGCTGAGCAGGCTGAGGGATAGCTGGGCGTGGCTCCTCACCTCGGGCAGGCTGGGCAGGGGTTCACACACCTGCAGGGATGGAGATCCACGGGGAAGATCCATGGGGGAAGCCACTACCCAGCACCAATCCCTAAGAGCTACCACGTCCAGGCTGGCACCAGAGTTTTTAGGGCATCTCAGAAGCCACCACTGCCCTTGGTTTGTCACCCAGCATGGAAAAGGAGACCCCCCCCCAGGAGATGGGAGCAGCCCTGACCTGGCCATCCCTGAAGTAGGTGCGATGGAGGGGCTCCACATTGGTGGGAATGACCTTGGTGGTCTCTCCAAGCCGCCCCAGGACACGGATCCCCAGCTCCTGCCCCGCGCTGGGCGACGGCTCCTCTTGCAGGGCCATGAGGTCCATGAAGGGGTGACCTGCCAGCAGGACATCAGGGAGCGGGGTACGGAGCAGGAGATTCCCCCAGGATGGTGGGAAGGGTTTCCAGACTCACCAGCAGCGTCGTAGAGCCGATAGATCGTCTTCATCCCTGGGATCGTCATCTTCTCCTCRTCCTCCGTGAGCTTCAGGCATGGGGAGCCATTGACCTCCACCAGCTGTGGGGGAAGGGAAAGGATGGACAACTGTGACCTCTCTGAGGAAAAATCATCTGGAAAAAACTATTTAAAAACCCTAAAACCACCCCAAAATTGGGCATTCTGCCTCCTCCTGCTTGTGAAGAGCTTGGGGGTTCTGGTGGGCAAAGAACTGCATGTGGAAATTCCCCCGTATCCTGGGCTGATCCCAAAGTGTGGGAAGCAGGAGAGGTGGGAATTCTGCCCCTCTGCCCTGCTGAGCTGAGACCCCATCTGCAGAGCTGCTTCCAGCCCTGGGGTCCAACAGCAGAAGGATCTGGATCTGCTGGAGCAAATCCAAAGGAGGCCATGGAGATGCTCCAAGGGATGGAGCCCCTCTGCTCTGGATCCAGGCTGGGAGAGCTGGGAATGTCCAGCCTGGACAAGTGAAGGATCCAGGGAGACCTCAGAGCCTAAAAGGGCTCCAGGAGAGGTGGAGAGAGACTGGGGACAAGGGATGGAGGGCCAGGACACAGGGAATGGCTTCCCACTGCCAAAGGGCAGACACAGATGGGATATTGGGAAGAAATTCTTCCCTGGGAGGGTTGGGAGGCCATGGAATGGAATTCCCAGAGAAGCTGTGGCTGCCCCATCCTTGGGAGTATCCAAGAGCCAGGCTGGATGGGGCTTGGAGCACCGTGGTATAGTGGAAGGTGTCCCTGCCCATGGTGGTGGATGACCTTCAAAAATCCCTTCCAATCCCAATTATTTTGTAATTCTGACTCCAGTGGGGCTGGATGACCCTAGAGCAGGCTTGCAGCACCTGGAAGTGGCTCAGCAAGGACTGGGACATTYAGGATTTAGGTTGCCCCCTGTACCTTGTAGACACAGCCCAGCGATGGCTGCAGGGGACACGTCACCAGGTTGGTCCCGATGCCGATCATGTCGATCTCACTGCCCTGAGGTAGCAGAGGAGACAAGAGACCATCAACATCCCAGCCCTGCCAGCACCAGGACAGCCCGGTGACATCCCAGATGTGCCACCACCACCCCAGGAGCCATCCCAGCCGTGCCAGCAGGTTCCTGACCTCCCTCCTGAACTCCTCCAGGCTCTGCTCGCTGATGTCGTTGCTGACAGCRATGGGGATGGTCCCAAACCAGGGCACCTGGAAGCTGGAAGGAGCAGGATTTGGGAGATCCATGGATCTGCTCTTAGCACCCCAGAGCCGTGAGGGCTCCCAAATCCCAGCAGGATGATGGGTGATGGGCTGGGTGCAGGTGAAGGTAAGAGGGATCAGTGACACCCATCCCAGGGCTGCTGTGGGACTCACTGAGCTCCGCAGGCTCGGAACACTCGCCGGATCTCCTTGGATTGCTGGGCCAGGTCCCCGCTGTCCAGGCGCACTCCGATGGCCCGGTATCCCAGCTGGTGCAGTGCCAAGGCCACGGCACAGAAATTGGGCAAGCCACTCCTGGCACGGGCAGGGAAAGCATCAGTGACAAGTGGGACACGGATCCTGGGTGGATCCAGGAGTGTTTCCAAGCCCTGCCAAAATTCCTCCTTCAAGGCCACCAAGGAGGAGGTGGCAAAGCCACCCTGGCAGTCCTGGCACCCTCACCTTCTGACACAATAGGTGTCCAGCAATCCCTGGAAGTCACATGGGAAGGTGATTGCATAGGACACGAAGGCAGCCAGCTCGCCCTCGTTTGTGCTCTCKGCTGGAGTCTGGAGCAGCTCACACACCCGCTGCAGCCAGGACACGGCCAGGGCCRCGAGATCCACGGGATCCCCTCCGGYCTGAGGGGGCAGCTCCTGCCAGGGGAATGTGGGATTTGCACAGCCCGTGGCATTATCCATGGTGCCAGGAGTGTGGGAACAGGTGGAGTGTTCCATTCCCATCCCATCCCCACCTGTATCCCTGTTCCCCATCCTTACCCAAATTCCCATTTCCTTCTCACCCCCAATTCCATTCCACTCCAATCCACATCCCCATCCTGTCCCTATCCTATCTCCATTCCATCTCCTCCCATTTCTAATTCCGCACAAACCCATTCCTGTCCCTAATCCCATCCTATCTCTATCCCAACCCATCCACATCCCCATCCCAATCAGATCCTATCCCATCTTCATCCACATCCAACCCTATTCAACCTCCACCTCTATTCTATACCCACCCCTATGCCTATCCAACCCCCACCCCTATCCCAACCCATTCCCATCCCCGTTCTTGTCCCCATCTGCATCCCCATTCCCATGACATTTTCATCCCATCCCTCTCCCATCCTCACCTGCACTCTCATCCCATCCCATT